CCATTTGTCTATTTTCCTCTCTTAGTTATGTTATATGTTATCTACTCACCGAGTCGTTATTTTGCTTACATCCCACTATTTTATTTTACAAAGTGTAATACCTCGAACTCGTTAATAAATGAATTAAAAATATATTAAAGATATATGAAAACTATTCCATTTCCATAGGATAGTTGTTAAAGATTGTGAGAATATTTGATGCACACAGGATAATTTTGTTGTACCTAGTGAATATTTTATTGATTAATTTTTCGATGCATGAATAGTACCCTATTATGCAAAATAATTACTTCAAGTATGTTATTTGTGCATGAAAATTATTCTATTTACATAGAATATTTGTTACATGGGTGCTAGATTATTTTATGCCATTAAGTGAATTTTCTAGTGTTCGGTGAATATGTTATGTGACTTTTCGATGCATGAATAGTGATTTTTTATGTAAATTAATTATTTTGAGTCTTTTAAATATGCAAGAAATTTATCCAATGGACATAGAAAAATTTATAAGGAGGTGTAGGAATATTCCATGCACTTGGGTGAATTTTTCTATGCTTAGGGAATATTTTTTTATAAACATAAATGCATTTTTACACAAAATAATTAATTTGAGGTCTTAAATATGTGTATAAAAATTATATGAATGATGAATAAATTATTACAGGAGGATTTTGAATTTATTATGGAAAGAAATTAATTTTTGGAAAGGTGTGGAATAAATTATGTACACATAAGGACCTCATTGCATACAATTAAAAGTTTAAACTTTCAAATTAAATTAAGAATGAACTTGAGGAAATAAAAAGTTGTTAGAAAAGCCTTAAAGGAAGGGTCTAAAGGGATCAATTAAATAATTGAAGGGCTTATGAAAGAGTAGAAGTAGGAAAAAATTTTAAATTGAGGGACTAAAATTAAACAATTTTGGGATAGATTTTCTCTCCATTTTGCCACCACTTAAGCCTCCATGATTAGGGCTAATTAATGAGGGTTGACTAATGACAAAAGGAAGGGTTAAGATTAAGCTAGATGGATAATTAACGAGTTAACGAAAAAATGGAAGGCCAAGATTAAAACAAACGAAGGGTTAGGATTAAAAATAAAATCAAGAGCTAGGATTAAACCAAATGAAGGGCTGAGATCAAGTCAAACATTCAAAAAGTCTAACCAAGCTCACCTATAAATATATGTGGAAAAGATGTATGAAAAATGTTGGAAAATTTAAGAGATTCTTGCAAAATTTCCATAGAAATCCACCTAAATTTTCACCTAAATATTTAAACCACCCTTAAAACACTTAATTAGACCTAATATCATAGTTGAAAGCTCAAGAATTTCAAGGAGGAAAAACTTAGGTCTTGGCCGAAATTTTGAAGAGAAAAAAGGAAGGAAAAATTTCAAAGGAAATCAATTCAACAAGGGTTAATTTGGAGCTTTTTAGGTAAGTTAACCTCATCTACATCATAAGAAATAGCTAATTATTGTTAATTGATTATTTTGCCCAATTTATTCAAGTTTAATTGCATGAATTTTAAAAATTAGAGATGATTCTTAGTTAGGTTAAATCAGGAAAATAGAATTAAAGGTGAAATTGATGCAATTAAAGTTAGAATATATTAATTAAGCATAACAACATGTGTTAGAAACAAGAATTCCTTAGCTTAATTCTTGATGGACCATTTGGCTCAAATTATGTATTAGGGTTTTTTATTCTTTTGTTTGTTTAATAAATTATTGGTTGATTATGTGTTATCTAAGTGTGAATAGATGATTTAGCATGAGAAATTGCATTAGAATTGAAATTTTTCCTTAGTTACATTAAGCATATATTTTGCCCAATTAGATGAAAATTAGGGTTTTGATGTTTTTGGATCATGAATGTTTAATTGGTAAATTTCAAGTTAGTATAGCATAAAAAGATGATTTAGCACGAAAATGTTCATTGAAATTGAAAAATTAACGTAATTTACTCTAGGTAGAAATTCGACCAAATTAGCCCAAAAGTAAAGTTTTTAGTGCAATTAGTTTATGGAAGTTTAATTGATTAATTTTATGTTATTAAAATAGACATAGATGATTTAGTATAAGAAATTGGTATTGAAATTGAAAAGTCCACTTAGCCTAAGCTAGGCGTGCATTTGGCCTTTTAAGGAAAATTTAGGATTTATGGACAATTTAGTGTTTGAATGATGATTTTGGGATGAGTTAATTACAATACTTGTGTCCAAGATGCGAAATGTGATATTTGTTACACAATTGTGTACGCTTATGGAAGTTGTGAAATGATTAAATGCTATGTGCCTTTTATCATTATTTGTTCGACATTGTGAAATGTGTTATTTTCTCGATAACTTGTTTTGATGATTTATGATTAAATTGTGTATTGTAAGTGAGTTGATATGAATTGCAAGGTAATGTGTTTTCCGATGTACTTTATTACGTGCAATGGATTATGTTACGAGTATCAATGTATATTATGTATAGCATGCATTATGCAATTACATTAAATGTAAATACATGTCAATTCATGAAAAATTTTAAAGTCATGAAAAGGATTTCCTTCAAGGTTTTTCTAAAGGAAATTGGAAAATATTTCATGGTTTAAATGATTTTTCATGACTTTCATAGTTCATGGTTTTATAAAAAAGACTTCACAATTTTTCATAACTTTCATGGTTCATGGTTTCATGGATCGAGTGGGGTGCGGATGTGTGCTTTTAGATACTCGACAAGACACATCCATAGATAGATCCGATTTATTAGACGAGATCATGAAAACCCTAAAATCCAAAGACAAGACGTCCAAGCATAGAAAAGATTTTTTGGAGTGATCATGGCAAGATTTCATGACATGTAAAATGATTGTTAAAAGAACATGAAAATAATTTATCATGTGCATTTTACTTATATGCATGTTATGTATGGTCAACTTACGAGGTAATCGCTTACCAAATTCTTATAAAGTTGGGATAAAAGGTAAAGCATAATGGTTATGTTTACTTTTGACTCGACTACTAAGGATCCTTTCACCACATGTATCTTACTTGTAGGTGGAAGATGGACCTATTTCACATTGTGTTGTTACTCGGTATTGGGGATTCTTATCTATGTACTAGGTATGACCTCATTATTCTATATGATAGTTAAGGCTATAAAAGATTAAGTAGTTAGATAGAGATGAAGACTTGAATTTATATAAATAAGTCATTTTTGCGAGTATAGTGGCACATAACTAGTTTATGTAAAATAAGAATAGTTTGTAAGTTAATCCGAAATATTAGTAGAATGTAATAGCACGACGAGTAGATAGTATAGTTTATTTTAATTAATTACTTGCAAGCCATTACTAATAATAAAATGTAACCATGAAATTAATAAGGAAATAACTATAATAAATGATAATTAAGAGAAGTAAAAAGAATTAATTAGTGAATAACGAGTAATCACCAAATCAATTTCTACGAGTCTTATAGAAAAGAAATTTGACAAAATTGAGCATCATCGATTCGATCAATTCAGTCTAAACTAATAAAATAAAATGTTAAAACAAAAAAAAATTTAACGATGCATTTTAGGTCGAACTTAGGACCTACCCGCCATTTAATATATTTCCATAGCATAATTTATACCTAGTATCCCATAGGAAAGACATAGTACCTTGTTGGCTTGCATCGTTGCAATCCAAATGTAGGTCAATGACAAGTAATATTCTCAACCTAATAGGTCTTAGGTTAGCGGTATTACACACAATTTGTGAGATCTTCTATTAACTTCTTTATAATCTTTGTCTTGAAGTCGACACAATGATCGTGTGAGCTATTTAATTGTAATATTTTGAACTCGTATTTTAAGATTATTGTAAACTCTAGAAGCTCTGGATCTATATTTGTAAGATTATTAATTATTTTATTGGATATGTATAATTATTGTGAATTGGATTTGATGTTGTAAAAAAATCATTAGTTTCTAGCGATAGAAGAACAAGTTAGGAGAGAGAAAAATCATTTTTTTATTTTTTATTTTTATATTTTTTACTCTTAAGTGACATATCTTTGACTTTTTGGATTTTTTCTATTTATACTTAGATAGAAAAGTCACTTCGTTGTCTAGGTTCATCCATTCTAGAAGAATTAGTGATTTTTGTCTAGGAATTACTTAATCTTTATGGATTAGTCTAAACTTGAAAAGTTAGATTAAATTTGGTTAAGTTAAAATATGATAGCTTGTGTATTTTCTTTTTTCTTTTTTTTTTAACTTGTTTTTTTAAATTTTTTATGCATCCTTTTTTTTTTTTTTTGGTGAGTTTTTTTTTAAACTTACAAGAATAATAAAACTCATGAAAATTAGAAAAAAAAACCTATAAAAAATCAAATAAATAGAAAAAAATATTTTAATTATTTATTTATTTATTTATTTGTAAAAATAAAGAATTAAAATTAGATAGTGACATACATAACATGTCATGTTTTAATTAAATAAGACACAACATATCAAAAATAGAGTATATTATTTTAAACACAAACTATCTTAACTAAAGTTGATAGAACTTTAATATATTTATCTCTTATATCTCATATATATTTCTTTGATACCACGCACCATCTTTTTATATCTCTTTTATTTTATTTTTTCGTATAAATTTTATTTAGTACAATTTTTCGGTTTGAGAATTCACATCTCTTTTTTTTTTTTTTTTTAATAACTAGTAGTGCTTTTAATCCTTCATTGTATTTCCTTTTGTTGGATTAAATGTGTATGGTTTTTTTTTTCTTTTTTTTAGTATTACTAAGATTGGCGTTAAATTTATGTTTAAAATTTTTATTATATATAAATTAATTTATTTGTTTAGTATTACTAAAATAGATATTAAATTCATACTTAGAATAGTGTTATCCACGCAGTGATAGAATTGTCTAGTTAACGCTGTAAATGCGAGCCCAAAACCCAGAAAAGGTTCTATACACAAGAGAAGAAATGAGACTGGAGTGTGGAGGATCCATGAGATGAGCTCCCATTTAGCGCGTTTCTTTCTTCAATTTGGAATATCTTCAAAAACTGCTCGTAGTAGTAGCTGTATTAACTATGGCAGCAGTGACTATTGCTATCTCCTTTTCAATCCCAAAAAACGCAAATTTACTGCAACCGCCATTCCTATAGCCCAAAAGGTACAGATTTAGTTGGTCCCATCATCCATGTTGTTTCTACTTTCTACTAACGACTAGCTACTGCTCTACTAATTATTATTTCCTTGACCTGTTTTTGATGGGCATTCAGTCCAGTAAAGAAGAGGTATTGGTAGTTGTTGGAGGTGGAGCAGCTGGAGTGTACGGAGCTATTAGAGCCAAGACTCTGGCTCCTAACCTTGGCGTGCTTGTTATAGAGAAAGGAAAGCCTTTATCTAAGGTGAGGGTTTTCTTTTTTTCCATTCTGGGCTACTACTTATTTACACTATAGAATTCAGTTTGCAGTTTCTTGGGTGATTTTTCTGGCATATTGATAGATAAAGTTAGTTAGCTCTTTGTGGGTCTTTACATTTACAGGTGAAAATATCAGGGGGAGGCAGATGCAATGTGACAAATGGGCATTGTTCTGATAACATAGTAAGTGTAAAAAAAAATAAAAATCCAATTAAACAAAAAAATGTTGTATTAAGATTATGTTTGTTTTGAAAATTCCATGGTGCTTTTCCTATGTATTGTCGATGACTTTTTGAACTTCCCTTTAATGGGAATGTAACATACCTCTATTTTATTTTCATGTTATTCCTTTCCTGCAAGCTAATGGCACGTCTACTAGTCAGTCTTAATAAGATTTTCTCATGCTACTGTATCTGAAGATTGTTGGTTTTTTATTGAGGAATATTTGTAATGATTGATTATTGTGTTATTTCTCAGAGTGCATAATGGAAGATCATTGTGGGTGTTCAGGAATATCAAGAAATTTAAGTTAAAAATGGAGCTTTACATAACATTATTTTTATAATTTTCAGTAATACCTAGAGGGGGTTGATTTTCACTTGCTTATTGCAGTGTTATTATGGAGGATTTCTTTGAGATGCAGTAGCATGTTAGAGAAATTGCTGCTGCATTTAAATTAGCATCTTGATAGTTGCTTGCTTCATATTTGTTCAGATTAATTTTTTCTGTTATTAATTGTAGTTTTCTATTACCACAATGTTATTGTCATTGGGAAAGGGCGTTTAAAGCGAAGCTAGTATAAACCAACTATTCCATGGTTTGGCTTAGCAATTAATTGAGTTCGTACAGAAGGATCATATCCTAAAAATTTAAATTCATAAACACGGAAGGGCACCCTGGTAGCAGCCATATTTTTCCGTTGTTGCAGCTGAAAAGTCCATCATCTGAGGAAACCTCTTTGTTATGTTAATAAATTTTTTTAGGCCTCCATTGGTTTCCTGACATGAGCCTCACTAAAGCAAACTGCAGGTGGCTTATCTAACCATCATTTTGACAGCATCACAGTCAAGAATGGCAGATATTCAGTGACATGTGACTGAATGTTGGCCAACCATAGCCAACTTTTTGACATTATGTCAAAGTGATCCATAATCCAAATTCGGTAGCTGTCATAACAAAGACATTAAGTAGCATGGTGGACAATTTGTCCAAACTGTATGCAGGATGCGGACAATAATATCAGTAATATCCTTATAAATTTGCAGAAAAATCATGGCAGGGGTCGATCTCTCTGACGAAGACTAACTCCAGCCTGATTGTAGTGGCTAGAGGAGTGAAAGTCTAAGAGATGTCAAACCAAAGCCAGTTCATCAGAGAAGCTTTGATGGAAATATGGAAACAAGAAATAAAACGGACAGTTTAATTAAGCAGTCTTATTGAAGTGCAGTTTTTTATGAATATTTGGAGTTCTTCAGTGCATGGATAACCTTTGATCTAGTAGAAGTATTTTTCAGCTCTCCTACGTGCTAATAGGAAAAGTGAACGAAACATCTATCTGCTGCTGGCATCCCCCAAAATCAGTGACAGTTAAGCAATGCCTCCACTTGTTACTGTCTTTGATTATCTGGGATAGAGCTGTTACAAACAACAAAGAAAACATGACCAAATGATAGCAAAGATGAAGAATTCAAGGAGAACAGGACCAACAAGACAGTCCTTTCCCTTTTTTGTGGTGTTAATTGTTGATTAGTTCGAACACAAGAGAGGACACAAATATGCTTAATCACTGTGAAATTTGTAAAAGTATTTTATATTCGAACTTCTAAAATATACTGAACAATAGTTAAGGAAAAGCTCAGTTTTAGTGAAGTGTTAAAAAGAATTTGCAGTGAAGTTACTTTTGTCTAGTCGAATGAAATCTAAAAACTAGATCTTCTTGTAAGCTAATAATTTCATGAATTCACTTGTGTTGGCCTTGTTTGCAGATATTGGCAGAACATTATCCCAGGGGTCATAGAGAATTCAGAGGTTCTTTCTTCAACATACATGGCCCGGCAGATACCATGTCCTGGTTCTCTGATCATGGGGTGGCTTTAAAGGTTCTCTCTGAAACTGCATGTATTTGGCTTCTTCAGTTATCTCGCACATGGTATTTACTCTTGTATACCCATGATCGAGGAGGATGGAAGAGTGTTTCCCACCAGCAACAGCTCGTCTTCAATAATTGATTGTCTTCTGTCTGAGGCCAAACGTAGAGGAGGTTTGTTTTCTCAACTGAAAATGTGTGTATTTTTATATATCAATTTTAGCTTAAAATGATGGTGTTTCTTTGACAATCTTCCTTTCCAATACTGAATGGGAAATCCTACAAGTATGATGTTTTTAGGGATGTTGATATGATGAATCTCGAATAAATGTTTAGATGATAGGCAACTTTCTTATTACTGCTGCCACAGATTTGTCATTTATTCCTTTCGTGATATGATTTTAGATAGCTTACTAGTGACCTCAATATTATGGAATGTTTGAAAGCAATACTTGCCAAACTATGACTTCTTCTCCCAGTTTCATTGCAGACTGGAAAAGTTGTATCAAGTGCATCTGTCGGAGATGGTGGAAAGTTCCTTTTGAAGCTTGAGAAACGAACAGTCAGTTATGTTGAAAATGTCAAAGCTGATTATCTATTGATTGCCAGTGGGAGTAGCCAGCTGGTACTGATGGATGAATGTTTAACTTGGATCACCATGTGGGTAATCAAATTTCTTGTAATATTTCAATTTTCCTATTACAGGGTCATAGTCTTGCAGCTCAGCTTGGTCATTCAATTGTAGATCCATTACCAAGCTTATTCACTTTTAAGATTGCAGATTCTGGACTAGCAGAATTATCAGGGGTAATGCTCTTCTGTTTAATTGGTTAACACTTTACACGCTACTTTTGTAGCCTTTTGTTAATGTACTATAGGATCTGTATCAAGGCAAAAGACAGTGGTTCTTAACCCTGAGTCCCTGACAGTTGTCTGCCTATTTTTTTCGTCCTATTTCTTGATATATTACAGATATAACTATTTTAGTTCTAATCAATAGAACTAGATCTACTAAACAATATGTTGAATCATTAGCTGTATGTACTATTGAGTTTTCTTAACCTGTGATTGCTTGGACTGGTATAACTCACTGTTAGAATGAGCCTCTGCTTGTTGTACTAAAAATTGCTTATGAAAACCCTCAAATTGCTGTTAATAAAAAACACATGACTAATTCTAGTGGTGCTCAATCTCGTTCATCTATTGATTGCTATCCTCATAAATAGCTAGTCTTATTCTGGAAAGCATTTGAGTACATAATGTTCTATCTTAGGCAGCTGGTTCGTGAAACAAATTCTCATTCATCATGGCATTGACTGTGAAATTATGCATTTCTGAAATTGGGTCATTTTCTGGGTTCTACAATGAATATCATGTTTCCCTAGTCCTTCCAATGATGACTTCGTATTTTGCAGCAAATACATGCATTACTTTTTTTGATGAATAATATATGCATTACTTTGATGGGACTCAAATAACTCTGTTTTTCTGGACATCTTAGGTAACACATTGCAATTCACAATTTAACATTGTGTTATACAATGTTGAAGTGTTAATTGTCTCAATTTGTAATGTTCAGGTTACATTTCCCAAGGTTGAAGCGAAGCTGAAACTAGAAAATGTTAAGAGAAACACACCACGCCTTACACAGGCATGTTTTTCTTGCTGATATGATGTGAAAGTATAGGAGTTAGGAAGTACTAATTACCAAATTTCAGGTTGGGCCCATGTTAGTTACACACTGGGGACTTAGCGGGCCAGTGATTCTTCGGCTTTCTGCTTGGGGGGCACGTGATCTATTTAGTTCAGATTACAAAGGTAATATAAAGTCTTTTCTCTCTCTCTCTTTCCATTTCTTTTTTCTTCAATAATCTTGATAGCATTTGGGTGCAGGCACGCTTATAGTGGATTTTGTTCCTGATTTGCATATAGAAGACATGAAGTCAATCCTTAATCAACACAAGCATAAATATTCAGTAATCTTTGATCGGAGTTTTTGCTTCCCGTGCTTTTTGCATACTCAATAAAGTCTCATGTAATTCATGAATTTGAAAGTGAACGAAGAGGTCTTTCACACTGCAATAATATAGTGGGGTAGTTCAAAACCAAATTTTTCTCTGGTTTACCAGAGTCATGTGGATCAGTGTTATAAATGTTCTTATTCATTTAAATGAGGGTAACATGAGTACATAGAACTGTGTTTGGTGACGTGCCACTGACAAATGCCGGTTACTGATGCTACAAAAATAGAGCTGATATTTCCCTAAAATAACAATTTTCTGTATTCATAAGCCAACCACCAGAGAAAAGACAACATGCTCTGATATTAATTTTCAACTGCAATTGAAAGATTGATGGAATATATGATGTGTTCCTTCTCGTTGTCAGCTGCTGAAAATCTGAATTGATCTGTAATAACTCTATTGAATGCTGGGTAAAATCTGGATCAAAGATGTTTTTCCAGTTTCCTCAGATCATTTCCAGTTTCTCATTATCTACAAGACTATAATTATTTCCATGCTTTGCAAGCAGTGGCATATTTATTGGTTTTCTACAAGGTCATGATAGAATAATTTTATTTTACATTTATCATATTATTTATTTGTCTGCAGAAACAGAAGGCACTTAATTCAAGGCCATTGGGGTTCAGCCTCAGCAAAAGATTTTGGAAATATATATTCGATCGAGAGGTTGCTTGGTTGTTTCACAGTAAATTATCATCTGTTGATGATTCATCACAATATTAATTGCACATGCCATTCTTTGTTACTGATATGCAGGGTCTGATTGAAGATACACTGTGGGCTTCCATATCAAACAATTCAATTATTTCTATAGCTTACCTTTTAAAGCATTGCTCATTTGAAGTAATGGGAAAGGTGGAATTTTCACTCTTAGAAACTATTTGAGCTCCCTTCTTTGTATTCTTTCACTTTCTTGAGTAACTATGTGTTTATTGTTAATGTAGAGCCAATTTAAGGATGAATTTGTCACTGCTGGAGGTGTGCCTTTATCTGAGGTTCTCTATCTCTCTCTCTCTCTCTCTATCATTTAGTGTTACTGGAAATACAACTTGATTTCCTTTTACTTTGTGAAGATCTCTTTGAACACAATGGAAAGCAAGAAATGTTCACGTCTTTTCTTTGCAGGAGAGGTAATGTTCCTTACTCTCAGACCTGTCAAGTTCCCATTTCTTGTTTATGAATGAGGTAAAAAAAGCACTGCCTTCAGTGTGATTGCAGTAGTTCCAACTTCTGTACTCAAGCTCATCTATCTAGATGTTAAATTAATATTGCTGTGTGAGATCATGTTGAATAGTGTATGAATTCTTATCACCATTCATGATATCAAAGTTTTTAAAGATTATTTGCAGGTACTGAATGTTGATGGGGTAACTGGTGGTTTTAACTTCCAGGTATAAAGGCACCCCTTGGCACCTTTTTTTTTGAGATTGAATTTGTTGTACGTGTTATGTTACATTCAAATATGAATTATGTGAAATCTTAGCAAATTAGGAACTTTGTTTTGCCCTTTGGAGATCTATGTAAAGTCGATGCAAGCCTCCAGTCATGGTGGAATGCTTTTCCTGCCCAAAAGTTGTCTTTATAGTGGAATTTTGGGCCAAGTCAGTTTGTTTTTCATTGAAAATTAATAAGCAGATAATTGAGATCTCTATAGTTTTGGCTTAGTCTTTTTTATTCTTACCAAAATGTTGGAACTGCTATTTATAGAGATGAATTCCCATAATCCTCTAAGTACAAGCGTCCTCTATTTAGTTCCTTCTAGATTGAACAATATTTTATAAATCAATGCTTCATCAATTCTTCTTTTTGTAGAATGCATGGTCCGGTGGATATATTGCTGGTACTAGCATTGGTGAACTATCATCTGAATCTACTTTGGAAGAGGGTATTCTATGAGTTGGAAATTTGAATGCTACATTTTTGTTTTTCCCATGGTAAGCTGATTATTGAATTGCAAAATGTCAATATTGACATTTGATTTTCTGTGCTTTTTTCCTTTCTTCCCCATGATTTGGTAGATTTGTTTGAATATTGCATGACAATAGCATTGTCACATTTATAAGTTGAGTTGCCTAATATATGCTGTCAAATTTCGATTACCCCATTCTTAAGAAAATATTGTCGAAGTACATATGATAACCGAACCGCAGTAGATAGAAACGTGGCAGCAATTAAGATTTTAGTGTGTCTATAATGACCATTTGTCGAAAACCAAGAAGAAAGTGAATTTGAGGGTTATGGACAGCAATAGCAAAGCTTCAAACTCTACTGTTCATCAGACCTCAAATTCTGAAGCAAAATGGTTTGGTGCTGGTTTGTTTGGCAGCAGCTCACGGTAGAAATGGAACTTGTTTCCCTCTTCTTTTCTGTTTAATTTTCACATTTGGTTTTATTTTATTTTATTTTTTTTGGCAAAATCCAATATTTCCACCTTGTGTTTTGGTCAATTTGTCAAAAAAGTGCTATTATTGATCTCTTGTATTTGTTGTTTTAGGCAATTGGGTACAATTTTCTAAATTGAAAAAGATACTACCCGATGAGAAGTGTTGATGGGGCCTATGGAGCGGCATGAGAATTAGAGTTGCCACCTAAGTAGTGGAGAAAAACCAAAAAAATCCTTACAAATTGGTCTGCAAAAATATTTAGGTAAGAGGTTAGTCATTTATATAGAATATATAACATCATCGTTGTCCTATCTTATCCGAGATAAGCTACATTGAATGTATGTGAAAATAAAAATATAATTTTATTATATTATGTTTTTATGCCTATTTGAGCGAATTTATTCCGTTAGGATGAAATAGCAAAGTAATTTAGGGTTCGAGTCGATCTAAGATCAATGCTCATACTCCAAAGGAAAAGGTGAAGGGAGATTAGAATTTTGGCTAATCTACACAAGTCTATACCGACAAATAGGTGAGTTTTTAAAGATTGAGAGTCTATAGTGACATGAACAAGAAGTCATCGACAACTTCACTCACATAAGTACAAAGCTGTCATTAACTTCAGATCATGAGTTTAAGAAGCTACCGATAACTTCGTTATATAAGTGAGAAGCTACAAACAATTCCATTTCACTCAAATAAGGAGTAAATAATTGGTTTGGAAGGTATTAGTAATTTCGTCACATAAGTGGAAAACCGCTAATCAGTTTCATTTCGACAAACAGAAAGTAGGTAAAATGATTTGGAAGTCACGGGTAACTTCGACCATAGAGGTAGGAAGTTGTTGGTAGCCTCTTTTCTAACCGAAGAAAACATATAAAATGACTTTGAAATTATTAGCAGCTCTATCATATAAGTAAAAGTCATCGGTGGCCTATTTTTACGAGAAAAAATCATATAAAATTAATTTTAAATTACTGGTAGTTCCATCACATAAGTGGGAAGCCACTAACAATTTCATTTCAATTATCAAAAATCAAATAAAAATGGCTTGGGAGCCATTGACAATCCCATCCACATAAGTAAAAAGTTACCGGTGGTCTCTTCTTTAATGAAGAGAAAACATATAAAATAATTTCAAAATTAATGGCGGTTCTATTAAATAAGTAGGAAGTCATCAACGATTTATTTCGGCAATTAGAAATCAAATAAAAATAGTTTGGGAGCCACTAGCGGTTTCGTCCACATAGGTGGGAAGCCACTAGTTGTATCTTTTTTGACGAATAGAAAACATAAGGATAACATTTAATTGAGTAGAGAAATTGGAATACATGTCTTGAACATGAATATTATCCATTCAGTGCATCACAACCAAGATTTTTAATCAATCACAATTGAGACAATTTCATATTTCAAAATAAAGCAGTTTGATAAATATATCAAATGGATATAAAATTTTGAATGTTACCCAAAACAAGTCAAAAGATACTGAAATTGCCAAAAACTCTATTTAGGGGTTAGTTCTGTTTTCTTCTTTTCCGATGAGAACTGATTGTTTAGTTACCTATGAAAGGAGAGCAACGACCCTTTGTTAGGAAAAATCTTTAGGTCCTCAATGAGTAAAAAAATGTAAACTTTTAAGAGTTAAACTGTCGATAGTGGGCTAATTGACAACACTCGGGTTGAGAGAAGCTGTTGGAAGATAGCAGGTGGTTGTAGAGCTGTTGGATAGTAGTTCACAATCAAAAGAATCCACTAGAATGGAGACTCAGATCTGGAGGAGCCTTCTAGATAATGGTTCACGGCCAAAGAAATTATTGGACAGAGGAGATGCTGAATAGCGTCAAGCAATGCTGTTGGTGTTTAATCTAGAAAAAATGCTCTTTTTTATGGTTCTATCCCGGTTACCAATTCAACACCAAAAAAATCCAAACAACATGTAGTTTACAATATCAAATTTTTTTTGCCAATACAACACAAAATCCGGACCATTTCATTTTTTTTTTTCCATTTTTTGTTATGTCCAAAATTTTAGGGCTGATTTGAAGTAAGGTCTCGGCTTCTAGTTATTTCACTATCTCTCTCTCTCTCTCTCTCTCTCTCTCTCAATTTTTTAGTTGAGGTCCTTCATTTTTCTTTATTTTTTTGACCTTAACAGTAAAAAATGGAAACAAGGAAAGAAAATGGAATTGAAACTAGAAAAGGAGCTTTCATGTCTAGGTCGTTTTTGAGGAAAGATGGACGGTAGTTGGGTTCCAAGTGAGGTTGTCTTATGGAGTTTTTGTGGTGGCCTGGTCTTGTTATGTGGTTGGTCTGGTAGGGGAAATAGAGAACATTTGGTGGTTTGGTCTAATATAAGAAGAGGTTGCTGGGTTTTAGGCAAAGATTTTTAAGCTAGTGGTTAGTGTTTAAGGCTGTGTTATGGGTAGTAAGGGAGGAGATGAAGCTCGTTTGGGTTGTGTTGGTTCGATTGGAGGTTGAAGATGGAGCTAGAGCTTGTTGGTTATAATGGAGGATGGTGTCTCAATTTAGTTTGAGTCAAAGACAGAGAAGCTTGAGCTTAGAGAAGCTAGAATCCAGTAGCTTTTAGGGGTCTTAGATGGAGGGTGATGGCTAGCTTGGTATAGAGAGGAGGATGGACAAGGGTGGCTAGTAGTATGTAGGTTTCGATTAGAGTGGCTCAAGTTGTGGCTGGGTGGTGATAGTGTGATGCATGGTCAAAGATAGAGTTGTTCAAGTGGTAGGCCGGTCGATTTGGATGAAGATGACAGGTTTTGGGTACGGCAGCTGGTAGGAGAGGAAGAAGAAGAAGAAAAAATGGCTACCCCCCTTAATTTGTAGTGAATGGTGCCTATTTAGAGGGGTGAAAATTAGAGTTTGACAAACAACAATTTAGGTGTTTGCCTCTTTTTTTTTTTTTAATTTCAATTCACATCTTTTTGATTTTTTAATCATCCCTAATTCAAGTTAATCAAGCCTTTTTCATCTAATTTCCTTTAATTGCACCCCTTCCGTCTTTTAATTAAGGATTTGAGTTTTTGATTTTTCAATTGCATCCTCAATTGAGTTTTCTTTGGTCCCTAATCTTCAATTGCACCATTTCTTTATAATTTGATCCACTTATTTCAAATAATTCTCTTCTTTTTTTTTCTTTTTTTTTTTTTAACTCATAAAATTTAAAAATTAGATGGGGTAAAATGTTAACAAGAAGGATAAGAATGGTGGAGATAAGTAATGATACTGACGAGAATGAAATGAAAGTTGATGATAATGATTGAAGTAGCTAAAAAGACTACTCAATTGGATGAAATTGAAAATAAAAATTAATTTGACTGAATTGATAATAAAAGGATTTTAATAACAAATTAATAAAAATACAGGATACAAATAATTTATTATTATTATTATTATTTGTCAAGTTTATTGATCAGGAAACGACTAAAAAGGATTGGTCCAGTTACCAACAAATAAAATGTTCATTCTTCCACCCAGATGGACATCATCTTGAAGCAAAATTATGCTCCTCCTCCTATCTAAGCTCCCAGCTAGGCTGACCTAGAATCAAAGCAATGCCATTTATCCTTTTCCATTTATGCCAATAAGATAATGTTTATTTATACATTTTTAGGTTGACAGTTGACTTGTGAGCGCTCTCCATGGAATGATCTATGAGGCATATAATTTTGTGAGGGTATGTGCTAGCTAGACTAAGCCCTTTTATTTTTTTATCACAGCATGACATGATGTGAGGTTGGATTAATAGCTAGAAATGTCTCTAGGTTCTTCACATTTTTTAATTATGATTAATTTTATCACATTTATTAAATTTCAATGTAGCCTATTTGATGTTTTGCCTGTTAAATTTCAACGTAGCATATTTCACACACGCTCTCTCTTAGTTTCTTGGTTGAGCTCCTTCGTTTTTCTTTATTTTTTTACCTTAGCAGTAAGAAATGGAAATAAGGAAAGAAAATGGAATTAAAACAAGAAAAGGAACTTTCATGTCTGGGTGGTTTTTGGGCTGAGATGGATAGTAATTAGGTTCTAGGTGAGGGTGTAATATGGAGCTTTATGGTGGCCTGGTCTGGTTCTGTGGCTAGTGGGATGGGAAAAATGGAGCAACTATAATGGTTTGGTCTAACATGAGAAGAGGCTTATGGGCTTTATGTAAAGATTTTTAGGCCAATGGTTATTATGGGCAACAAGGGAGGAGATGAAGCTCATGTGGGTGTTATTGGTTCGGTAGGAGGTTGAAGATGGAGCTAGGGCATGCTTATGGCAATGAAGGATGGTACTTGGTGGAGTTCGAGTAGAAGTCAAAGAAGCACGGAGGAGCTTAGCTAGAGGTAGTGGCTGGCTTGGTAGAGAGGAGGATGGACGATGGTGGTTAATAGTATGTGGGTTTTGGCTAGAGTGGCTCAAGTGGTGGCTGGTGGTGGCAATATGATACTTGATTGAAGGTAGAGATGTTTAGGTGGGTGATCCATCAGTTTCGATGAAGATGACTAGTTT